GGAAATTTTAAGTGGAAACCCAATATGCAGAAGGAATAAAAGTGGAGTTGTCCAGGTTGAAGCCAAGGTGGGTGAACCCCTCCTCCTAAGATGCCCCCCAAATGAGGGTTCCACCCCAAGTGCACCTTCCTCGGGCCCTGAATAAGGAGGAGGGGTCTGATGGAGGGACGGCAGGTGACTTAGGACCAGTCTGCACAGGGACCTGAAGGTTACTGCAGAGAGGTGGCAGGTACAGGCCCGCTGACCCTGGGGTCGGTGGAATGGACGCATGTCCTCCTCAGGGGACAGACTCCTGCCCAGCCCCCACCTGGGCTCCTCCCTACCTCCCTGGCATCTGAACAGAGAGCCCCAAGGAGGCAGCACATGGCTGAGGCCAAGCCCTTCTTTGGGAAACAGCTCACGGGCTAAAGGCATGCTCTCCTCCCTTCCCTCTAGGAGGAGAAGGAAGCAAAGTAAAGACACGGTAAAGACAAAGTTAGAATAGTGGAGCTACATCTTCTATTCGTTCATCAAGCAAATATTTACTGAGCACTTATTATTTGCTAGACATCATTCTAGGCATTAAGAATATAATGCCTGGTGAACAAGACAGACAGGTTCCTGGAGCTTACATTAAAATCCCAAAACATCAGGAAGGAAAATGCCTCAAAAGTGTGCCTCGGCCAATGCTTGTACTTCCTCTGCACTGCCCCGTCAAGGTCACCAGCCGATGCTCGGATATTTCCAGTGATGGGGAACTTGCCCCCTCCAGAGGCAGAGGCACCTGAAATCTCCAGAGGGCCACACTGAGGACCCGCGGGTCCCTCTCCCCACCCAGCTGTGCAGAGTCTTAGGCAAGGGAGCCAACAGAGTATCAGATGCAATATTAGGATGTACTAATTTTATTTTATATCGAGGCAAAATACGAGGCTTCATCTCTCTGTTTTTGAGTTAATTGCTTGGGACTAAATGAAACAAGCCAGCTCCATTCTCCCAGGCCCGGAGCACCCCGATCCCCCAGCCTTCGTCACCACAGGCTTCCCTCCCAGTGATTCCCCAGCAGCAGGAACCCAGGGTGTGCCCCCACTGGCCCCAACTTCTCTCCTGCCAGGCATCCCTCCTCCCGACCTGAGCAACCTCTAGGGAACAGGCAGGGCTGTGGCTGCTGGGATCTGTCTGCAGGGCAGAAGAGAGCTCGCCACATTGGGTGGGGAATCAGGTCTTTGGGGAGCCCAGGATGGGGTGTCAAGGAGAGCCAGGCTGCAAAGGTGCTCCTGCCTGGCAGGAATCTGGGGATGTCAGATGCCAGGAGCTTCCACCCTGGCCGGGTTCCCCGTGCTCAGACCCCAGCAAGTCCCCTCTCTTTCCAGAAGTGTCTCTGGGGTTGTCCGATGAGGCCTTGCAGCCCTGTGGGCAGCAGCTAGGAGCCACATTTCCAAGGAATAGGAGTGGCAGGCAGGAGGGCCAGATGGAAGCAATTATGAGGAAAGCTGGAGAGGAGGGGTCTGGGAGGGGCTGGCAGGGAAGGAGGAAGGGGGGAGGAGGGGAGGGAGCAGAACAGAGAACCCTGCCTCACCCATCGCCTGGGCCCAGGGGATGGGCAGGGAGAGGCGTGTGGTTCAGGACAGCAGAAGCCCGGGTTTGTGTCCTGCCCTTTGAAAACACACTATGGCCTGAGCAAACACCTTTGAACCTCAGCCTCTTCCTCTGTCACAGGAGGTGATGGGCAAGCTCGGGAAGTAGTTGGGAACAGGGCTGAAAAGCACAGGTTGCGGAAGCCAGCGTGGATCTGAGTCCTAGCTCGGCTATGCGATCAAGGTCAGCTGTGTGACCTTGGCCAAGGAGTTAATCTTTCTGAGCCTCCATTTCTTCATTTACACACGGGCTTAATAATAGGCCCATTGGTGAGGCTCACATGAAGTGTGGTGAAGTGTCTAGCACATCTTTTTTTTTTTTTAAGTTTATTGGGCCAGCCTTTTAATAAGTGCTTGATGGATAAGTGGTAACTATTTTTGTCATTTGCTAAGACCTTTTTGTCATGGGGACAGATGTTCACCCACGCTGTAACTGGCAGAGGACACAGGGCAGACCCAGGGCACAAGGAGCATGGCCGCAGTGCCTGAACCCACACCCTGGAGGAAGGTTTGGACTCAAGGCAGAAACACAGCAGGTGCTGGCCCAGCACCCTCCACACTGGTCCCCGGACTCTTCCTAGATCCCTCCTCTAAACAGGAAAGCAAGATCCTTGACCAGCTCACGCGGGGAGAAGGGATGATCCTACGATCCCAGTTCGACTGGGCTTCTGCAGCCAGGCCCTCCTCGCACTCAAGGCCAGACGGGAAACCGAGGGCCCAGCGAGGCCCTCACCTCACCTCAGCCCGAGCAGCAGCACCTGCGTCCCCGCCGGGCCAGCAGCGGAGCCCGGGGCTCCAGAGTCCAGAACCATCGCATCGTCATTGTGCAGGGCAGTCTGTGGCCCGGATGTGGGTCTCCTCCTCCCAGCAAGGGACCAAAAGAAAAGCAGTGGCTCTGGACACTCACACCCTCCTCACCCTGAAAAACAGCAGCCCAGGCAGCCCGTGGGCTCAGGGTCTCCGACCAGAAGCCCCAACACACGTGGCTGGGCCTGGGCAGCGCGCCGCTGCTCCCGCTGGAGGCTGCCTCTGTAGCGTGAAGGCGACTCATACACACACACACCCCCCCGGAACGTGGCAGGGGTCGGGGTGACTCAGGCAAGGACAGCCAGGAGCCCGTGCAGAGGCGCCCAGCGCACTCACGCAGAAGCACTGAGCACCTCTGCAAAGGGGGCAACGAAGGAGAAAGGGGAAACAACGACCATGGCCCCCCAGCCTCCCTGCCCTCGCCATTTCCTCATGGAAACCAAACGCTTCGGGGCAAGGCGCCGGGTCTTGAGGAGTAAGGAGGGTCCTGAGGGCGGGAGGCGCAAGCAACAGGAGCCCAGCCGCCAGCAGCACTTGCCGCAGGGAGAGGTCGAACACGCCCGCCTGGCTGAGCAGGTGCCGTGAGCGCCGGGCGCCCCCCACTGACCGCCCAGCTCTCCGGCGTCCAGGGCGCACCTCCGAGGAACCCCACCCTCCGTGGACACCTCCGCAGGCTCCTCTCCCTGCCAGCCCAGGTGTGTGGCCTGGCAGGCACGAAGCTCGCCGTGTTAGTCTGTGGCAGGGTGACCCTTCCCCGCAACGGATGGCGCAAACCTTCGAGCTACTCTGAGAGGAGGAATTCACACCTCTCCTGGAACAACCTCTGCGGCAGCCTCTGAGGAGACACTCAGAGACACTGGCCAGCTCAGGGTGACTACGGAGTGACCACAGCTTGAGACGGAGCACGGAAAGGGGGCCTGGCCTCTCTGCTCCAACCTGGTGAAGGGAGGGAGGGCTCTTCCAGGATTTCTTACAATTCCAGAAAGGAGCAGATTCTTGGTTCTACCCAGAAAACTGGATCCTAGGAGTCTAAAGGGGCCAGCGGGGTGGAGAGGCCACAGCACTGTTTCTGAGGGGAGGGGAGTGAGTCACTGCTCCGGGTAGGGAAGGGGGTGAGGGAGGGAGGGAAGGCGGCCCAGAAGGCGCCACAGGCTTTCTCGGCCTGGGCCCTCAACTCGCGGGGCAGGAAGGCCTTGTTGGCTCTGAGCAGCAACCCACTCCCAAGCTAAAGATGCTCTCCTAGCCCAAAGTCCAAGCAGCTGGCTCCTAATTTACTTTCCAACTTCTATACCCACCACCCAACCTCCGTGTCCTCTTAGAGTCTGGGAGACTGGCCCCAACTCCTGGATCTCCCTCGCTTCTTGGTGGAGCCCAGGGCCCATGGGGCCGCCTAGCACAGGGGACAGGGCCCAGGAGCACCCTGGGAGTGCAAGGAGGAGCAGAGCAGGAAATGCATCGCAGGAACCTGGGCCACCGCAGCCTGGGCAGGGCATTCCCACACCAGCCCCCGGCAAGCCCAAAACCCACAAGTTGACTTCTAGGCCCCAAACAGCTGGCACCTCCCAGGCACCCTCTCTAGAAGCGTAAGGCAGCTTTGGAGAGTAGAGTGCGGGGGAAATATTACTACCGGCAAACATTTACATAGTTTTTCCTCCACCAGGCACCTTTCAAGGCAGTAACACATACCAACTCATTTAAAGCCTCCCTGGCAGATGCCCGGCCAGGGCCTAGAGGAGGTGGGTGGGAGGGCAGGGTCTGTGCCGCCGCCGCACAGCTCACGAGAGAGCGCACTGGTTTGCGCCTCTTGAGAGAACCCAGCCCACACCAGGCCCGTTCCCGAGGTTCCAGTAAGTCTGCCTGGACTTGGCTTCCACGCTGCGAAGTACGGGCTTCCGCTAGAAGCCGGGGTGCGGGTGCCAGCCTGTGGGTGGCCCGAGGTCGGGCAGGGCGCAGCGGGGCACCCAAAACTGCCTGCACCCCCGGCCACCGGGCAGCAGCCCCCTGAGCCAGGCCCTCGGGGCCCGTCTGGGGAACAGGAGAGGCCCCCGCAGCCGGTCAGTCCTCACAGCACACAGAGGGGCCCCCAGCGCTGGGGCTGGGCGGGGTGCCCCGAGCAGGCACCCAGAGCGCACGGCCGGGCCGGGGCTCGGCCCCAGCTTAGCGCAGCCCCCCTACGCCTCCTGCGCGCCGCCCCCCGCCCGGGCGCTGAGGCCCAGGCCCAGGACCCCCAGCACGTGGCCCCGGGCAGGGCCAGCCGCCCGCCGGCAACCCCACCTTTGGGCTCCCGAACTCGGGCGGACCCTGCGGAGCCTGTCAGCGCCGGCGAGGCCGGCCCACGTGTGCCCGACCCGGCGGGGCAGCTGTGGGGGGAGAGACCGTCGCGCGCAGGACGCCGGCGCAGGGGGCGCGTCTTCTGCGGGCGCCGGGCCGCGGGGCAGAAACTCCGGGACGGGGACTGTGCTTCCTGCCCGCGCCGCGCTGCGGGGGCCGCGCTTCCCGCGAAAACGGTCCAGGGAGGGCGCCGGGAACAGCTCCCCGCCCGCGCCCGCGTGCGGGCCGCACCCCGAGGGCCGTACTCACCCTCGCGGGGCGGGCGGGGCGGTCCGGTCCGCTGGGCGCCGGCGGCTCCTCGGCCGCGGTCCCGGCGCAGGGCCGGCCTGGGAGCGGGCGAGGCCGCGGGCG